AAAATAATAAAAATTTTTTTTTTGTCTTTTTGAGACAGGGTCTCCCTGTAGCCCCAGCTGTCCTGGAACTCACTATGTGGACCAGTCTGGCCTTGAACTCACAGAGATCTGCCTGCCTCTGCCTCCTGGGTGCTGGGATTAAGGGCGTGCACCACACACCCAGCCGTAATAAAATATTTTTTTAAAAACGAAATTACAATCCATTTAAAGCTGTGCATGTGAAGATGTGAATACCTCAGGTGATGTGCTTGTTCACTGTTCAGTAACACTGAGTAATAAGCAGGAGACAAGCATGTGTGTTTCTGTCCACTTGGTTCCTGTGTGTTTCAGTATGTGCTGGTCTTGCCACACTTGTGTGAATTTAGTTTTTTCCAAAAGCATACTCACCAAAAGAAAACTTGATTTTACCTGGCAATCACAGAGCAATAGCATCTTGTCTTGAGGGGGAAATCTCTGTTAAACTTGCCTAGGCAGTGCACGTGTTCTTTTTACCAGGCAAACAAACACATCCAACCAAATGGAATATCACATTGAGCCTTTTGGACCATGTGATTTGAGCTTCAAATATTCAAACCTGTTGGTGAATCTAAACCAGGAGTTTGCACTGCTTGTTAGGGATGTTAGAATGAGAAGGATTGGCTCCCCCAGCTCAGCCCCTGAGAGATTAGAGTGCTGGTTCTCAGGTGGAGCTAGGTCATGTCCATTTTCCTATGTCCATTTCTCAGAGCAAGGGTATAAAAGTTTGATGAGTTCTGTTTTTTTTTTGTTGTTGTTATGTATTCTGTTTTGAGAGAATTCATATGATGTGCTTAAAGCAGCTTAGGAGCACATAGACAATATTTCATAATAATATAAAATATAAAATTATTATTTGTAAAAAATTATTGTGTATTTGTGTTGCAAACTGAGGAATCTTTAAAAATATTTGTTGCTCATTTTAGGGGGGAGTGTTGGTTGCTTGGTTGCTTGGTGGGGTTTTGTTGTTGTGTTTTGAGACAGGGTCTCCCTGTAGCCCTAGCTGACCTGAAACTCGCTAAGTAGAACTGGCTGGTGTTGATCTCACAGAGGTCTTCTTGCCTCTGCCTCTCGAGTGCTGGGATTAAAGGTGTGTGCCACCATACCTGGCTGTTTGTTTTTTGAGATAGGGTCTCTCTGTGTAGCCCTGGCTGGTCAGGAACTTGCTATGTAGACCAGGCTGGACTTGAACTCACAGAGTTCAACACCTGCCTCTGCCTCTAAATGCTGGCATCAAAGGCATGCACTACCACACCTGACAGACTCTTTAACTTTTTGTGTATTCAGAGGACACTTTAGATTTTATCTTTCAAGTTGTAATTGTCCTAAAATGTTAACACCATCTCATCTCCCTGCTTGTTTTTTCTCTCTCTAGAATATTTTCCTTCTTGGATATAGTAACTTTGTGCCGATGTGCACAGATTTCCAAGGTAGAGTATTCACTAGATTTTTAATCAATATTGAGTTTTGTTAGAAAAATGAGTTTTAATTCAAACAAACCATTACAACCAAAGGGTGTTGCCTTATATTTAATATAACACAATGTTATAATAATTCTGTATTTGGTTATTACCTTGATGTGCCCCAGGAATAAAGTTTGGCATTACAGAGAGTGAGTCAGGATTTTCTGGGGCTTGATGACTGTTTCCCTCTCACCCTCTTGTTTTCTACTTCACCTCCCAGGCTTGGAACATCTTAGCCCTGGATGGAAGCAACTGGCAAAGAATAGATCTTTTTAACTTTCAAACAGATGTAGAGGTAAGTTAGTTGACTTTAATTTTTTTGCAGTGTGTGTGTGTGTGTGTGTGTGTGTGTGTGTGTGTGTGTGCGCGTGTGCACATGCCAAGGGAGATCAGAGGAGAACTTATGGGAGTCAGTTCTCTCCTTCCACCATGTAAGTCCTGGGAATCGAACTCAAGTCATCAGGCTTGGTGGCAGGCACCTTTACCTTCCCTTCCCCCGTTTTTTTTTTTTTGTTGTTGTTGTTGTTGTTGTTTGTTTGTTTGTTTGTTTTTTGTCTTTTTTGAGACAGGGTTTCTCTGTAGCCCCAGCTGTCCTGGAACTCACCATGTAGACCAGGCTGGCCTCAAACTCACAAAGATCCACCTGCCTCTGCCTCCCAAGTGCTGAGATTAAAGGTGTGCGCCACCACGCCCGGCTCCCTTCCCCTTTTAAAAAGATTTTATTTTTATCTTATGTGTATGACTGTTTTGCCTGTGTGTATCTAAGTGCATCTTGTACATGCCTGGTGCCTGAGGAGGTCAAAGAGGGTGTCAGATTCATTGGAACTGGAGTTAAAGACAGTTGATAACTGCCGTGTGCTAGGAACCAAATCTAGGTTCTGTGAAATAGCAACCAGTGCTCTTAACCATTGAGCCACCTCTTCAGCCCCTTTTTTGTTATTAATTGTTGTTTTGAGACAGGGTCCCACTATTTAGCTCTGGCTGACATAGAACTCACTGTGTAGACCAGGGTGGCCTGGAACTCACAGAGCTTTGCCTGCCTTTGCCTCATGAGTGCTGGGATTAAATGTGTGTACCACTATGCCTGGCTGCACCCTGCGCCTTTTAATGATTTAAAAAAATTATAATGTAGCCGGGCATGGTGGCACACACCTTTAATCCCAGCACTTGGGAGGCAGAGGCAGGCAGATCTCTGTGAGTTCAAGGCCAGCCTGGTCTACATAGCAAGTTCCAGGACAGCTAGGGCTACAGGGAGACCCTGTCTCAAAAAAGATCAAAAAAAAATTATAATGTTTTAGTATAATGAGGGGGGTGTACATGTACCATGGCATACATGTAGAAGTCAGAGGAAAACTTGGGGAATTCGTTCTTTCCTTCCATCATGTAGTTTCTGGGGATTGAACTTGGGTCCTTGGGCTAGGTGGCAAGTACCTTTTACCCACTGAGCCATCTCCCTGCCTCCCTTGTATGTATGTGGGGGGCATGCTATGGCATACATGTGGGGGTCAGAGGACTACTTTCGGGAGTTGGTTCTCTCCCTCTACCATATGGGTTCTAGAGACTGAACTCAGGTTACCTATCAGGCTTGGTATCAAATGCCTTTATCTGCTCAGCCATCTTGCCAGACCATTTTCCCATTTTTAATGGATAGGCAAATGATGCTATTAAACAGTAATATGAGTCCAAATCATTTCCTGATAGCTACTTGGTCCCCATTTTAAAGCAGCAGAGCAAGTATCCACAGCAAGTGGGCAGAGCACAAACCTCCCACTGTTGCCCTGGAGCCCTTTATTCCTCATGCTGTAGTGCTCTGAGTGTGGAGGAGGCAGGGACCAAGGGATCCATGCCCCTCCTGGAAAGGGAGGCTCCAGTTCCTGCCTTGGACTGCTAACACACTAGCATTGTCACCTGTGTGCCCAGCACTGTTCTAAGCACTCTGAGAATATTAATGCATTTCATCCTCTCAAAAGCAAACTGAAGAGGGGTTGGAGAGATGGCTCAGCAGTTACGGGCACTTACTGCTCTTGCAGAGGAGCAGGGTTTGGTTCCAGCACCCACATGATGACACACAACCACCCATAATTCCAGCTCTGGGGGATCTGACACCATTTTCTGGACTCTGATGATTCTTGTACACACATGGTACACATAAATTCACAAAGACAAGCATACATACACATAAAATAAATAATTTTTTTTTGAGACAGAGTCTCCCTGTAGTCATAGCTGGCCTGGATTCACCATGGAGACCAGGCTGGCCTTGCGCTTGCAGAGGTCTGCCTGCCTCTGCCTACCAAGAGTTGGGATTAAAGGCATGTGTCACCATCACCACACCCAGCTCAATAAATAAATCCTTTTTAAAAAACAGACTGGCCAGGCTGTGAGTTAGAGGCAAGCCTGCTCTATAGAGTAAGTTCCAGGACAGCTGGGACTACAAGGAAACCCTGTCTCAGAAAGACAAAAAAAAAATAAAAATAAAAATTAAAAAAAAAAACAAAAAAACAGACTGAAGAAACTGAGGGACAAAAAGGTTGAGTAACTTATCAGTCACTTACCGATTCAAGAAATGGGTTGTACAGCAGTGTGATTCAAAGAAAAGGCCTGTGCTGCCTGTGCCTTTATAAATTGGACATTTGAGGCTGGTGAGATGGCTCAGTAGATAAAGGCATTTGCTGCCAAGCCGGTAATCTGAGTTTGGTCTCTGGACCCCACATGTGCTGGGATTCGAACCAGGGTCTTCTGCAAGAACAACCAGTGTTCTTAACTGCTGAGCCATCTCTCCAGCCCAAATTTTATTTTATTTTTGTTTATTTTTATTTTTATTTTTTTTTTGTGTGTGCGGGTGTGGAGGGCTCAGTAAAGAATCCCGTTTGCTGCCAAGCCTGTAATCTGAGTTTGGTCTCTGGACCCCACATGTGCTGGGATTCGAACCAGGGTCTTCTGCAAGAACAACCAGTGTTCTTAACTGCTGAGCCATCTCTCCAGCCCAAATTTTATTTTATTTTTGTTTATTTTTATTTTTATTTTTTTTTTACAGTTTCA